TTTAAGGTGGTTTTTTTCCAATTCTGTAAAAGTCAGTGGTAGCTTGATGGGGATAGCATTGAATCTATAAATTACTTGGGGCAATATGGCCATTTTCACAATATTGATTCTTCCTAACCATGAGCATGGAATGTTTCTCCATTTGTTTGTGTCCTCTTTTATTTCCTTGAGCAGTGGTTTATAGTTCTTGAAGAGGTCCTTCACATCTCTTGTTAGTTGTATTACTAGGTGTTTTATTCTCTTTGTAGCAATTGTGAGTGGGAGTTGACTCATGGTTTCGCTCTGTTTGTCTGTTATTGGTGTATCTGATGTCTATTATTGGTGTATCTGGTGTCTGTTATTGGAATGCTTGTGATTTTTGCACATTGACTTTGTATCCCGAGACTTTGCTGAAGTTGCTTATCATCTTAAGGAGATTTGGGGCTGAGATGATGGGGTCTTCTAAATGTAAAATTATGTTGTCTGCAAATAGAGAAAATTTGACTTCCTCTTTTCCTAATTGAATACCCTTTATTTCTTTTTCTTGCCTGATTCCCTGACCAGAACTTCCAATACCATGTTGAATAGGAGTGGTGAGAGAGGTCATCCTTGTCTTCTGCCAGTTTTCAAAGGGAATGCTTATAGTTTTTGCCCATTCAGTATGATACTGGCTGAGGGTTTGCAATAAACAGCTTTTATTATTTTGATATATGTTCCATCAATACCTAGTTTGAGAGTTTTTAGCATAAAGTGCTGTTAAATTTTGTCAGAGGCCTTCTCAGCATCTATTGAGATGATCATGTGGTTTTTGTCTTTGGTTGTGTTTATGTGAAGGATTACATTTATAGATTTACATATGTTGAACCAGCCTTGCATCCCAGGGATGAAGCCAATTTGATTGTGATGGATAAGCTTTTAGATGTGCTGTTGAATTCAGTTTCCAGTATTTTATTGAGGATTTTTGCATCAATGTTCATTATGAATATTGGCCTGAAATTTTCTTTTTGGTTGTGTCTCTGCCAGGTTTTGGTATCAAGATGATGTTGGTCATAGAATGAGTGAGGGAGTATTACCTCTTTTTCTCTTGTTTGGAATAGTTTCAGAAGGAATGGTTCCAGCTCCTCTTTGTACCTCTGATAGAATTCAACTGTGAAACTGTCTGGTCCTGGACTTTTTTTGTTTGGTAGGCTATTAATTGCTGCCTCAATTTCAGACCTTGTTATTGGTCTATTCAGAGATTAACTCCTTCCTGGTTTAGTCTTGGAAGGGTGTAAGTGTCCAGGAATTTATCCATTTCTTCTAGATTTACTGGTTTATTTGCATAGAGGTGTTTGTAGTAATCTCTGGTAGTTTGTATTTCTGTGGGATTGGTGGTGATATCCCCTTTATTATTTTTTATTGCTTTGATCCGATTCTTCTCTTTTTTATTAATCTGTCTATTTCATTGGTCTTTTCAAAAAACCAGCTCCTGGATTTGATTTTTTTTTAAGGATTTTTGTGTCTCTATCTCCTTCAGTTCCACTCTGATCTTAGTTATTTCTTTTCTTTTGCTAGCTTTTGAATTTGTTTGCTCTTGCTCCTCTAGTTCTTTTAATTGTGACATTAGGGTATTAATTTTAGATCTTTCCTTGCTTCTCTTGTGGGAATTTAGTGCTATAAATTTTCCTCTAGACACTGATTTAAATGTGTCCCAGAGATTCTCGTATGTTGTGTCTTCATTCTCCTTGGTTTTGAAGAACATCTTTATTTCTGCCTTAATTTCATTATTTATCCAGTGGTCATTCAGGAGCAGGTTGTTTAGTTTCCAGTTATGGAGTTTTGAGTGAGTTTCTTAATCCTGAGTTCTAATTTGATTGCACTGTGTCTGAGAGACTGTTGGTTATGATTTCCATTCTTTTGCATTTGCTAAGGAATGATTTACTTCCAATCATTGGTCAATTTTAAAGTAAGTGCAATGTGGTGCTGAGAAGAATGTATGTTCTGTGGATTTGGGGTGGAGAGTTCTGTAGATGTCTGTTAGGTCCACTTGGTCCTGATCTGAGTTCAAGTCCTAGATATCCTTGTTAATTTTCTGTCTCATTGATCTGTCTAATATTGACAGTGGAGTGTAAAGTCGTCTTCTATTGTGTGGGAGTCTAAGTCTCTTTGTAGGTCATTAAGAACTTGCTTTATGTACCTGGGTGCTCCTGTATTGGGTGCGTATATATTTAGGATTGTTAGCTCTTCTTGATGCATTGATCCTTTTACCATTATGTAGTGCCCTTCTTTGTCTCTTTTGATCTTGGTTGATTCAAAGTCCATTTTATCAGAGATTAGGATTGCAACTCCTGCTTTTTTATTGTTCTCCATTTGCTTGATAAATCTTCCTCCACCCCTTTATTTTGAGCCTATGTGTGTCTTTGCACATGAGATGGGTCTCCTGGATACAGCATACTGTTATGTCTTGACTCTTTATCCATTTTACCAGTCTGTGTCTTTTGATTGGGGAATTTAGCCCATTTATATTTAAAGCCAATATTGTTATGTGTGAATTTGATCCTGCCATTAGCTGGTTGTTTTGCCTGTTAGTTGATGCTCTTTCTTCTTAATGTTGATGGTCTTTACAATTTGGTGTGCTTTTGCAGTGGCTGGTAATCGTTCCTTTCCATGTTCAGTGTTTCCTTCAGGAGCTCTTGTAAGGCAGGGTTGGTGGTGACAAAATCTCTCAGCAGGTACTTTTCTGTAAAGGATTTTATTTCTCCTTTGCTTATGAAGTTTAGTTTGGCTGGATATGAAATTCTAGTTTGAAAATTATTTTCTTTAGGGATGTTGAATATTGGCCCCCACTCTCTTTTGGCTTGTAGGGTTTCTGCTGAGAGATCCACTGTGAGTCTCATGGGCTTCGCTTTGTGGATAACCTGACGTTTCTCTCTGGCTGCCCTTAGCATTTTTTCCTTCATTTCAAACCTGGTGAATCTTACGATTATGTGCCTTGGGGTTGCTCTTCTTGAGGAATATCTTTGTGGTGGTATCTGTATTTCCTGAATTTGAATGTTGGCCTGCCTTGCTAGTTTGGGGAATTTCTCCTGGATAATATCTTGAAGAGTTTTCCAACTTGGTTTAATTCTCCCTATCACATTCAGGCACACCAATCAAATGTAGATTTGGTCTTTTCACATAATCCCATATTTCTTGGAAGCTTTGTTCATTTCTTTTTACTTTTTTCTCTAATCTTGCCTTCTCACTTTTATTTCATTGAGTTGATCTTCAATCTCTAATATCCTTTCTTCTGCTTGATTGATTTGGCTATTGAAACTTGTGTATGTTTCACAAAATTCTCGTGCTGTGTTTTTCAGCTCCATCAAGTCTTTTATGTTCTTTTCTAAACTGGTTATTTTAGTTAGGATTTCATCTAACCTTTTTACAGGGTTCTTAGTTTCCTTGCATTGGATTAGAACATGCTCCTTTAGCTTGAAGAAGTTTGTTATTACCCACCTTCTGAAGCCTGCTTCTGTGAATTTGTCAGACTCATTCTCCATTTTGTTCCGTTGCTGGTGAGGAGTTGTGATACCTTGGAGGAGAAGAGGCTGGTTTTTGGCAGTTTCAGTCTTTTTGCAGTGGTTTCTTCCCATCTTCATGGATTTATCTATCTTTGGTCTTTGAAGTTGGTGACTTTTGATGGGGTCTCTGAGTGGATGTCCTTTCTGTTGATGTCGAAGCTATTTCTTTCTCTTTGTTAGTTTTCCTTACAACAGGCCCATCTGCTGGAGTTTGCTGGAGGTCCACTCCAGAACCTGCCTGCCTGGGAATCAGTGTGGGGGCTGCAGAACAGCCAAGATTGCTGCCTGTTCCTTCCTCTGGTAGCTTGGTCTCAGAAGGGTACCCACCAGATGTCAGCCAGAGCTCTCCTATATAAGGTGTCTCCCAGTCAAGATAAATGGGGGTCAGGGAGCCACTTGAGGAGGCAGTTCTGTCCCTTATCCGAGCTCAAGTGCTGTGCTCAGAGATCCATTACTCCCTTCAGGGCTGCCAGGCAGGGAAGTTTAAATCTGCTGATGTGGATCCCACAACTGCCCCTTTTCCCAGGTGTTCTGTTCCAGGAAGATGGGGGTTTTATTTATAAATCCGTGATGGGCTGCTGCCTTTTTTCAGAGATGCCTTGCCCAGCAAGAAGGGAGTCTAGTGACAGTCTGCCTGCAGAGGCCTTGCAGAGCTGCCATGGGTTCCACCCATTTGCTGTGTAAACTTCCTGGTGACTTTATTTACACAGGCAAGGTTAAAACGACCTACTCCAGCCTCAGCAAGGACTGACGCCCCCTCCCCACACCAAGCTTGAATATCCCAGGTTGATCTCAGACTGCTGTGCTGGCTGTGAGAATTTCAAGCCAGTGGATCTTAGCGTTCTGGTCTTCATGGGGCTGGGACCTGCTGAGCCAGATCACTTGGCTTTCTGGCTTCAGCCCCTTTTTTTTCCTCAAGGGAATGAGTGGTTCTGTCTCACTGGCATTCCAGGTGCCACTGGGGTATTAAAAAAAAACAAAACTGCTGGAGCTAAAACGGCTGCCCAGTTTTGTGCTGGAAACCCGGGGCAGTGGCGTTGTAAGCACTGGAGGGAATCTCCTGAAGTCTGTGGGAAAAGCACAGTATCTTGGCCAGAGTGTTGGTAAAAGTCCTTAATGGCTTCCCTTGGTTAGGAGAGGGAGTTCTCTGGCTCCTTGCACTTGCCCTTGCAATGCCCCACCCTACTTTGGCTCACCCTCCTTGGGCTGCACCCACTGCCTAACAAGTCCCAGTGAGATGAACCTGGTTTCTCAGTTGGAAATGTGGAGATCATTTGCCTTCTGGTTCGCTCTTGCTGGAAACTGTGGACTGGAGCTGTTCCTATTTGGCCATCAGAGTGTTTTTGTAAAATGTGCAAGTTGAGGGGAGGAAGGGGTGGGTGGAGAAGCAGGGCAGCTGGCATAGCTCCTGGGGTGTTGGTCTCCTCCAGGAAACTTCTGTGACCCTCATCCATGGTTTTGACCAGACTGTTTGCCTTTCAGGAGGACTGGCGTTAGCTCAGGTGCTCTTTTTCTACGTGAAGTACTTGGTGCTCTTCGGTGTACCAGCTCTGCTCATGCGCCTGGATGGACTCACTCCGCCCGCCCTCCCTCGCTGCGTGAGCACCATGTTCAGTTTCACCGGGATGTGGAGGTCAGTCGCTGAGTTTGCTGCAGTTGATCAGGAGTGTCCAGTGGGAGGAGCATGGCTGAACAGGCCTCAAAGGGTTTGGGCTACCATCCTGTCCCTGCCCCTAGCTCAAGCCGAATTTGGCGTCCATTTCTTATCCTACTATGCTTTCTGGTTCTCTCACCATTATGATCAGTCTATGAAGACAGGTGAGATAAGAAAGTTTCTCTGAGTCTGTGTACCCATCGATGTGCAAAGGGTTATGTTTGAAGTGGTTTCTTACTAACTTGGGAAAGGCTACTGTATCTTGATTTTGTAATTGCTTCCTTTTTTTCTTGAAAGCGACATAAGTATATGTGAGACTGTTGATTGATTAAGAAAAACAGACTCGGGATAATAGTCTAGGCCAGTGTTGCAGTATACTATTTACTAATTCTCTCTGTTTCATTTTTCTTAACTCTTAAACAGTAGTAAAGATAATCCCTGTCTCCAGGAGTTGTTTTGAAGTTTACCTAATCTTCAATAATAAGGATTAGCTTTAACCCTGTTATTCCTATGCTCAGTGGACATGATAGACACTTTTTCTGAAATTTTCTTACTTTTCTAGATTTTGACCCGTAGTCTTATCGTTGGTCTGGAGTCTTTTTTTCCTTAGTCCCCTGCCATTTCGGATTGTTGTTTTCAATGTGATAGACTTAATGCTGTGTTTCGTCTTATCACTTTCAGAGTGAAACAAGTGACAGGATTGCGTTTGCAATTGCAAACGTAGTGGAAGGACCTCAGGGTCAGCGCTGATGCAACCATGGGAGTTGGTGCCCCATCCATGTGGCTCATTCCTTTTTATTTTTTAATTTTTGAGACAAGTTCGCGCTATGTTTCCCAGGATAGTCTCAAACTCTGGACTAGATCCTTCTACCTCAGTTTCCTAGTAGATAGGATCACGTGTTTATTCATTGTTAAATTTCATCTCTGTAGGCAAAAAACCTAAGGCACAGGTAGGGGAAGAGTTCAGTAAATATTGCCGTACCTAATGTGGCTGTTCAAATGGAGTTGGGTAGCATTCAACATTCTGGTTTTTCATAGTGACTTATTACAGATGTTGAATTTATCAAAGCCTCTCTAAATACATTTTATTTTTGGTCGAGTTGCTTGTTGGAGTGAGAACCTTCATATGATGATTGCAAGGAATGTCAAGTATTTACTTTGATTTGTCCTTACTTCCTCAAATACCACAGGTTGCCCTGTTTTAATGGCAAGATGGGGGAATGTTGGCAAACAGGTGGTCTCTAACTAGAAGGCCAGGGAGTGATTTTTGTTGAAAAGTTGAGCCTGGTTGGAAGGCTCTGCTAACTTTTGATCTACTCATCAAAGTAACTTACTGAGTCAATTGGTTGGGACCCAGCATGATTTGGGAACATGTCACAAGTGTCTGGTGTGAGCTTAGCACAGTCCCTCTGCCTACTCCATGTGAATACTTGTACTCATGCATTTCTTGGGAAGCACATTCTCCTATAAGGCTTCTCTGGTATTGGCTGGCATGATAAAACCGTAACCCCCTGGCAGCCATGCTGGTCTCTGGATCCATGTCCATAAATACCAACCCTTTGATTGTCACAAGAGGCAGTTTAGGCTGCTGACTATATTTCATACTCAAAACAGTTGTCTTCTTATTCTTATCCTTTATTTTAATAATTTTTTTGTCCAAGAAAGATCCTCAGTTCTATATCAGCCACAGAGATGGAGAGAAACTGTCTGTCAAGACCTTTGTCACTGTCTTGATTAGAACTAGACTCAAATATTTGAGACCCCAGGCTGCTGAAACAGTCTCTCCTCTCACTTAAAGTTTTAAGTCAAATGTGGACAAAAGAGTAGTAATGAAAAGTTAATCTGAGGAGGAAGCTCTGGGATGACCCCTTAGAGTGATGTGGTTCTAAAAAGAGGTGTTTCTGAGAGCATGTGATAAGATAACAAAGACAGCCTTTCCTGGGAGTGACCTAGACTCTTACCCCAGCTTCTTTAGCGTGCATAGGTGTAGGTTTTCCTCTTCACAATTTTAAGTTTCTTGAAGGATTTTCCAGGCTACCAATTATACTTAGAAACACAAAGATCTTTGTACAGAATGGCCGTTACATATTAAGTGGTTGGATTTAGGTGTGGAGATGAACTTTTTCTGAGATCCAGTGTACAATGTGAGACTCAGAAGTAGTTTTTCAATTGAAGAAAAATAAAATAACAATTAAATTGTCTCTTTTGTGCAATTTGCAGATGCTCATTTTCCAATAGCAGGAGTTGAACATGTTTCATGTTCAGCATCTGGTGGCATAACCCTGACACTGGTCCTGGTCTCATTCTCTAACTTTTCTCTTTAAGAATGCTCATTAAGGATAACTGAGTTTTGGATTTGTAATTTCTATTAATAGCTAACTTTACTTACCTTTTCTGGGCCATCTGTTGAGGTATTGCTGCAGACAGGGAATGGCACACTCTTCCTGGATTTAGGTCTGAGAAGAATTTAGTCATGAGCAGATGTGAATCCTGGTGATGCAAATAATTCTGCATCATGTCAGCTGTTCACATGGTGACATAAAGGGCCTGGTGGATAGGAAGCGGAGGGAAGAAATCTCCAGAGATTGATTTAATGGTTACGATGGTCTCAATGATCTACACTGAATGAGGTTTAGAACTGCTAATAGAGGAATTTTTAGTTCCCCTTTTTTGTTTTGTTTTGTTATATGTATATATTTTATTGCATTTTAGGTTCTGGGGTGCATGTGAAGAACATGTAAGATTGTTGCATAGGTACACACATGGCAGTGTGATTTGCTGCCTTCCTCCCCATCAACTATATCTGACATTTCTCCCCATGTTATCCCTCCCCAACTCCCCACCCTCAGCTGTACCTCCCCTAGTTCCCTGCCACAGACCACAGTGTGTGTTGCTCCCCTCCCTGTGTCCATGTGTTCTCATTGTTCAACACCCACCTATGAGTGAGAACATGCGATGTTTGATTTTCTGTTCTCCTGTCAGTTTGCTGAGAATGATGGTTTCCAGGTTCATCCATGTCCCTACAAAGGACACAAACTCATTGTTTTTTATAACCCCCCATTTTAATGGAGCCATACCGTCCTGAACACTGTGCTGACTGATTGCACCATCTTTCAGCCTACTTAGCATTGAGAGACTTGAAGTCAGCAGCCTGCCATATCAGAGGAATATGAGCTCTACATCATAGAAAAGATAAAAGTGGCCATTACCAAAGAGATCATCTTCTGTGCCATGCTAGCTCAAATTGACTGTGAAAAATTGCAATTCACCAGGAAGGCCCAAACCTGAAACTCAGGACCTGATGAGTTTTTCCTTTCTTGTAAATTTTCTCTTTCATATAATTTCTGCTCAGATTATTTACAGATATTACAAGACCCCAAGGAATATGTCTGTTACTGCTTGCGTGAATTTTCTGTGTTCTTAATGGACTTGAGAAATTGAGAATTTTCTGCTTAATTTTTGGATTTCACGTTTTAATTTAGATGGGCTGAGATCTGTAATAAGCTATTTTTTTTTTTTTTTTTTTTTTTTTTTTTTTTTTTTTTTTTTTTTTTTTTTGCCAGGAGTCATTAAAGATGACGTTGCATGTCTAAGGCTCCAAATTAGAGATGTGACCCTATTTTTGTGATTTGATTTCTAGTTACAGAAGCAAAGCAATGGAATTTCCCATGGTGGCTGGTGAGTTATGGATCAGTTTCAATTATTTCAGGAATCCTACACAGCTTGCCCTCTGCATTTCTTGAATTATGATGCTTTCAGGTCATCAGAGGCAAACTCATGCATCACTGCTTATCCCAGGGGGATCTGGTGCTGTTGGTGGCTGCTAGACCTTAATATCTAGGAATATCTTTAATCTGGGGATAAGGAGGAATCTGAGCACCTTCTTTCAGTGAGGCATTGATTACATGGGCTGTTAGGTCAGTAGAATTTAGGTCCCTAGATAGAGAGTTGGTCCAGCATGTTAGATGATAAATCAGCTCTACAAGCTGCTGGCTTTGCATTAGTACTGCCTTTGAATCGTGCTTAACCACCAGTTTCAGGGCAGGATGGTAGGCATGGAGTTGGTGAAATATATTATCATGTCTACCAGCATTGTTGGGCAGAAAGCTGGAATTGGGTGAGTATATAGGAGAAAAGATGGAATAGGTGCTGTTAATAAAAGATTGCTTTTTTTGGCAGCAATGTAGTGACTAAGAGCTGGCTGCCTACTAGCTATGTGACTTGGGACAAAGTTCTCTGGGCCAGTCTTTTAATCTCTAACATGAGGAGAATACTACTACTTTGCTTCATAGGAGTGCTATGAAGAGTGAGCGAGCCTGGCATATAGTAGGTTAGGAAGTGGTACCCTCTATCCTGAGGATCACATATCCTCAGGAAGTAGTAGCTTCTTAGCACTTTTTTTTTTTCCTTGACAATCTAACAAAGCCAGAGGTGACTGAGAGGTCCACCTGCTAATGGGCTTGGTAGGGAGGCAGTGAGCGAGGATGGGACTGGCTGACGGAAGGCGTCATTTCAGCTCTGCCCCAGAGATGTGATGATTCAGAGAGACTATGGTGGAAGCGGTATGGGCTGTACCTTCAGAGGAGGGGCCTTGGTCTTGTCATTTTTGTCTGTTGTTTTCCGGTGAGAGGGGGACTGAGGTGTCGGATGAGACTAGGAACAGCATCTGGTCACTAGATGACGCCTGTGTTCCCTTCTTCTTGTCTGTTAGCCCAGCCACACTGAAGGGAGATGACCACCAGGACCCCTGTGCTAAAGCACATCCACCCCCACAAATCTCTGTATTCCTCAGTTTCTGAGGCATTAAAATGGGGCTGCTGATAGTACTTATCTCATTGGGTTGTCGTAAGGGTTAGGCAAGACCGTGTACTAAAGCACTGGATACACAGCGGGCACACTGTGGACACCAAAATAGAAACCATCAACCATCATGTTGTCATTTTATAAATAATGGTTAATCATTACAAATAGAGTAAAAT